AGGTGTAAATCTTAAGGACATCCTTGCCTCTTAAAAAGATGAAGAAAAAGCCAGTGTATGAATTATTCTACTTGTATTTCAATGCAGCACAAATGTCATGAAGTCATGTCTTCTTACCTTTCGTTGTCCTCCTCTGATGAATCCATAACCGTTACGATTGTCAATCAGATCTTCCAACTGCCACCTTTGGACCACACGTGCACTGGCCCATCACCATAACAACCAGCCTGCACATGTTTACAAGCTGGTTGTCAATTATGAAATCCTAAAACTACATTTCATACAGTGTAATGCCAAAAGTCAAAGCTGAGAATTTAAGTGTGATGATTTATGTTGTCCTGAATTCATAAAAGCTGAACATATTTTCGTTTGTGTCATCAGAGGTGGAGATGATTTCAGCTATTTTTGCAGAATAGGTTTTAATTTGCGAAAATTATAGGACTGCAAAGTGGCTCGGTGGTTAGCACCATCGCCTCACAGCTACAAGATCTCAGGTTCATGTCCTGGTGAGGACCCCCAGGATCTTTCTGCGTGGAGTTTGCATGTTCTCCCCGTGCAGTGTGGGTTCTCTCCGGGTTCTCCGACTTCCTCCCACACAGTCCAAAGACATGTTGAGGTTAATTGGTGATTCTAAATTGTCTGTAGGTGTGAATGTGAGTGTGTCTGTCTCTAAGTGTAGCCCTGTGATAGGCTGGTGACCTGTCCAGGTGTCCCCTGCCTTCACTCTAAGTCGACTAGAATAGACTCCAGACCCCCAGCGACCCTAGTGAGGATTAAGCGGTGTATAGATAATGGATGGATGTTTTTAATTTACAATATATAATAATGAGACGTCATAATTTTGATGCTTGTTATGTATTTTCATGTGAAATCTAATAGTAACTGCACTGTAGCAGTCAAATATGTGCAGTGAAGTAAAAAATACACAATTTTATTATAAACTGTAGTGCACTGGAAGAGCAAAGAAGCATTTGTTGAAAGTAACACAAACAACAAAATGCATTATAAAGCATTATCCAACAGTTTTAGGAGTAAACTGACTAAAGGCCCCCAGAAACTCCCATTTGATGTGAAAAAGATGGAAATATGTATACATTGTTAGACCTAACAACTCCTGACAAGCTATTTGAGAGCAGGCAACTTTAAACTCTACATCCTGTTCATATTCTACTCCTTCATACGGTCAGTTTGTCTCTCATAACAAGTGTCTGTGCCAAATTTTAAACTGCACGTCTATTCAGAATAAGTGAATAGCCTATCTGACTTTAATAAGTGGAGGATCAATCTTGATTTATTGTTTCAAAGAGGAGAGAAAGTGTGTTTTTTTAGATTTTACACCACTTGTTCTTGGAGAAAAATATCTACTATCACACAATATGATGTCCTATTTAATCTAAGACCTGACAGCATATATATTCTACTGAAACTGAAATTATTTCAATGACATTTTCTGCTGCCTTCCTGCCTTTTCCTTCATGTATCTTCCTGCTTGTACTCCAAATCCAAGTCTGCTTCCTCATCTTGAAAGATTAGATCAGCAACCTTCTGCACAGTAGGTCTTGATGCCAAAACCTCAGTCAGTAACATAACAGCTCGGGTACCTTTTTATTCATATGGCCCTTAACCCTTTTCTGTTTTGACCTTGGTTAGCTCAGAAATATATTCTGATTATTTCGTTAAATTGCAGTTGCAGATCTCGCGACTGTCTTAAGGCACCGTATGACTTCTGTTTCTTTCGTGCACCACATGTGACTACACCTAAGCAGTTTTATGGATTCAACATTTCGAGATTTTCCCCGTGACTCTTCAAAGACCAACAGGTGTCCATCTCAGCTGAAATCCTGGTACATATGTTGGGAATGCAGGCAGTTCTTGTGGAGGAGACGAGATTCCCATAAAACTATGTCACAATAGTCCCATAAAAAATAGACACAGACATGGCATGTACAGTTTAACAGTTTCAAGATTCCATAAAACTGCCGTTTTCCTTAACTTGAGCCACACTAGGGGGGATTTCAAATCTGTTTCAATAGATAGGGGTCAAATATGACAAGGAACATGCTCAAATTTTAGGCTGATTTTTATTTTTTTTACCGCTATCAAATGTCAAAAATGGGTCAAATTTGACCCAAACACTATGTAATGGTTAAATTTTAAATCAGCGCCACCTGTTTTCATTTAAATTGTAGCGAGGAGAGAATCAGATTGTATGTGGAATAAAAACTTACCTGAAAGAGGCTCCTGGAGATTCCAACATGTGAACTGAAGTGACTTGGAGGCGGGACGGAATTAGATAGAAGGAAGGGAAGAGTTTAGGCTGTATAATGTCACTTACAGTGCCATCATAGTTACTGATCTCTCCCTCATGTGTGTATAATATATAACTAGGTCACATGCCAGCAAAAGGCCGGGATTCTTCCAAACAGGGTCTGTGAGAAAACACCGTCCCAATAACATCACTGTCAGAGTTCATGTTTGAAATTCAATCTGTGTGTTCAAGTTTCACAGATGATCGAATGACACACAGACATGGGAACTGAAAAACCCTCCAATTTATGATCACATATGAATTTGACTTGTTGCCTAACTCTGAATGATCACAATTAAGGTCTGCTGCAGATCAAAGCTATCTGTTTCTTCCAAAACATCCCAAACTACAAAGAGTGTTTTCTTCAAGAAAATGTAAAATCTGGGATCTTTATTATAATTAAAAACGGAGGGCTCTGTTTTAATCATGCAAATGCAACAAGCAGAGCTAAGTGGAAGGTCTTTGACTGCCCTTGCAATTCATGTTTGTGCATATGCAGCAGCACAAAGTGCAAAAATGTGTGTAGGGTGAGGCAGTTGGGTGAGGCAGAAATACAACAACTTACGCCACAATAAAACTACAGTCAGAGGCAACTTGTGGAGGCTTTTATTTAAACATTTCACTCATTCAGTGACAATAGAATAGATAAACTAGATCAATACTAATAATAGGCCGGTGGAGCTGTGTATATCAGTCATATCATACTGTAAAATGTGACACAGAGTAGTGAATGAAACATGAAATGCTTAGTCCAAACAAAAAAAAAAAAGGCCTCTCAGCATGTCTGTTTTGTCGCCTTATGGTTTTTGAAGAGATTTAATGAGCAATAAACACTGGAAGAATCTTCTACATTCTTTTATATTCTACATAAATTCAGTTTGCTTCATATGTTATTAACATATATTGTTTCAGATCTGTTGTTGCAGGGTGTTTCATTTAAATAGATTTTGGTATTTTAAACCTTTTTCCACCGTTGCTTCTTTGCTTCTCTGTTTTGAACTTAATGCAAAATGTTTCATTATCACCGCACACTGGTTAGCACTGTCACCTCACAGCTAGAAGATCCCTGGTTCACATCCCAGTTAGGACTCCTGGGATCTTTCTGTGTGGAGTNCATTTACAGTATTATCAATTTATTTATCAATTTTAATGATGCAACTGACTCAATTACAGGTCTTGCAGTTAATAAGAAGTTGTAAAAATGTAAAATGGCCACAGATGTGGCCGACAGCACACAGTACAGCAGCACATAAAGTGTTTTTTGTTTTCTACCTTGCCTCCCACGTGTTTCTTAACTTAGAGCAAAGCCAGTACATGTCATAAAGTCATATCACATCAAAGATGGACTTCAATATTTCCTTATTGGTCTGACATTATTTTGGCGCATAAATGATTTGCTAATGTCTTTCAGCCTTTCAGGCTCCAGTTCAGCACCTTTTTCATGTTAGATTTAAATTGACTGGATTTAATTAAACTCACTGTCTGCAACAAGTGCAGTTTGCTTCATCAAATCTTAGTATTTCCTGCAAAAGTGCTCATATCGCTTGTGGTAAAGTGGCATAAACAACAACTTTAAAATGTCACCTTTATCAGGCAGTCCAGGGTCACCATCATCATTTATCTGTAATAAAACAAAAGTGATAAGGAAACCGCAGCACATCAAAGCGACACATTTTCCCCATTGTTGCCCCGTTTTCATATTTTTATCACCTGATTTGAAATGATTTCATGTCCACTGTGGGCTCCTTGCACACAAATGCTGCAGATCTTCATCTGATCAGTTCTGCAGTAGAAATCTAGGGACCTCTGGTAGTGCGGACAGCAATCCTCCCTGACATCTACCAGTTGGTGTCTCCCCAGGGCCTCAACCGTGTAGTGCTCCCGGACGTGACGCTCGCAGTAGGAACAGGTGCAGGTCAGACAAGTCTTTACAGCCCAGGCTTGTTGGCAAATGTCACACATCACCTCCTCTTGTCTGTTTTCACACAGAAAAGTATGGTGTGGTTATTTATTAGCAAATGAATGAGTAATAGCATAGTTCTGGCCTAGCTGCAATATTAAAGAGAGAAGGAGAGAGGTTTTATTGACTCAAAGGTGAAGGAGCAGTGATAACACAGCTATTATATAAAAGGTAATAGGTAATAAGATTGGCCAGAAATTTAATTGCTGTTCAGAAAAAAAAGGGGGAAAAAAGTAATTACAGAAAAAAAAAGATCTGTGGAAAGAAGTATTTAAAAATGTAAAAATGAAGCAAGAATACAGTCCTATTAAATTCAACTTACTACAATATGAATCCATCCATTATCTATACACCGCTTAATCCTCACTAGGGTCATGGGAGGCTGGAGCCTATCCCAGCCAAAGACAGGTTCACCTGAACAGGTAACCAGTCTGCAAGGCTACACTTAGAGACAGACAACACTCAGATTCACACCTATGGATAATTTAGAATCACCAATTAACCTCGACATGGTTTTGAACTGTATGGGGGGGAAGCTGGAGAACCCAGAGAGAACCCACGCTGCACAGGGAGAACATGCAAACTCCATGCAGAAAGAGCCCAGACGTCCTTACCGGGAAGCGAACTGGCAACCTTCTTGCTGACGGTGCTAATCCCCCGAGTCACCTTGCAGCCCACAATAAGAATAAAGAACACTGTGTCTTTAGATGTATTCATATGCTGGAAATATACCTAGGAGGGTGCCGATGTCCATTCTGGAGCTGGGACGTCCAGTGGGCCTGTTTTCTGAAAGGTCACCAAGAAAGAAGTCCTCAGATGCAAAAACGCTGATAACAACGAACAGTGCGAGTCCAATTTAAAACCGCAAGGGACAAAAACTAAAAAATAAGTTGCATTAAACGTAAAAATCTGGGTTACCTTTCGTTGTTGAACTCAGGAGGGTCGCCTTTTGAAGATGCTTCTGTCCTATAGTCAGAATAGTTATCGTCTGGTCTCTCAGATCTGAAAGAATGACAACATCCGCAGGATCACTCACTAAGCACATCTCGTGACTTCACTTTTCAGCTACAACCAGGTTTGTCCAGCATTTGAGGAGTCTGGGTGGTTTATCTTTACTCCTGGCCTTTAAAATATGAAATATACAGGAGCTAATGTTTGCACTCCAGCAAATACAACAAGATTTTGTTAGCTTTACCAAATGGATTTCTCATCCTAAGTGAGTGTCTTAGAGGCTGTTGAATGCTGAGTTTAATCGCCAAAACTCAAATTTAAACCAAAATCTGATTGATTTGACGGCCTTACAGATTGTTCTTGAAATGGAGAGGGATTTCTATGGAAGACCTCTTAAACTCTGATGTCTTTTCACTGGGAAAACAGAACATCAGAAGATCACACAATAAGGTACACACAATATTTTTCAAAAGTCGTCTGCCATTTGATTTTTTTTCTGTTCATGTCTGCAGTGCATTATGATCCAGTATTAAAATGAATGAGTTTTGTTGTCTCTCTCTTTACTACAAGGCTGCATGAATTTCTCTTTTAAAGATACGAAAGAGTAGCTTGTGAACAGAAAAATAACGATAAAAAGAATATACTGAAGTTTTTGTTATATCCAATAAAATTAGACAACATAACTGAGTTTGCTTTGGAAATGACCGGAAATGACAACAAAAAAACTACAACAAATTCATCTTTCTGGCATCTTAAAAACAACAAAAATGAGAACATTTATGTTAAAATCAAATTCAGACAAACTAATTCATGCTTTTATTTCTTGTAGGGTGGATTGGACATTTGCAACTCATTCAAAATGCTGGTGTTAGAGTATTAACAAAAACTGTTCTTCGTCCCTGTTTGTCTCCTTGCAGAAACCCTTCTGTTAGTAATCTAAAACTTGAATTGATCCATGAATCCTGAGTTGTGTTAACATAGTAATGTTGGAAATTACACCAACTTCGTATTATGTGTCATTTAAACTGATATTTCTGCAACGATGGCTTTAAAATAAAAATATAATTGTAGTAAATTCATTTAATTAGCTTGATAATGTTGTCTTTCTCCACCTTGAGTTCAGGATTCCAGTCATTAAAATCTTGTGTTCATGCTACTAATTATTCATTAATAGGTCATTTAAAATACCATTGAATGTAGAGGAGCAGCTCATTTGCACAACTCAGTGTTTGAACATAATTTAATTAGAAGTTGTCACATCTCAAAAAGATTGGTGTAAACTGCTGAATTAATTTTTTTGTTTGTTTTTTTTTTAGTCTAACCATTTGCTTAACTGAGCTCTGATGTTTCCTACTGTCACCCCACTATGTACTAATCACTTTTTCTTTCATGAATTTGACATTAATCATGCTATAACCTGTACCTGCGCTGCCTGAAGTCATCAGGGACTGTGTGATCAGCTCTTTGTGCTTGATATACAGCAGCCGGAGAGGGTTGTGGTAGAAATCTGAAAATCACGACACACAGAGCAAACTATTCATGAGTCTGCAGACAGTCCAATCAAGTTATCAGACTTATTAATACATACCTGAAAGGTTCCTTACTCCATTTCACATGTCCACCCCAAGGTTGTGGCATGCCGAAGATATCTTTTCTGAAAGGCCGAAAATAGAAAAAGTCCTCAGATGCATATGGTGGCAGCAAGTCAAGTTAAAACTGCAGGTAATAAAACTAAAAAATAAGGTAAAGGTAAAACTCTGGCTCACGTTTGGTCGCTGAAATGAACCTTGACGTCCTTCGAAGACATGTCTGCACCATGGTCACCGTCTGATTCCTCAAATCTGAAAGAACGACAACATTAGCAGGATCATTCTCTAAACCTTCCTGGTGACTTAACTTCAACAGGTATGAGCAGGTTTGTCAGGTTTACACACACAGTGAAACACAGTGAGGCTACAGCTACCCAATATTTGAAGAGTCCATGTGGTTTAGTTTTACTTCCATTTCATTCCAGCAAGTCACTGAAAGTTTTACCAAATAACTTAATCGGTTCTCTTCCTAAAAGTTTCTAAACGAGTGTTTTGGAGGCTGAGTTTGACCCAAGGTTAGAGAGAAGATCAGTTTGATTTGACTGTCTTTCAGATTGTTACTAACATTGAGCAGAATTTATATGAAAGTCTCCCTGAAGCGCACAGTTTCATACAAAAAAATGTGATCTGCTATTTCATTTCTTTATGAGTGGTCTGCAGTGCATCATAAGCTAGTGTTCAGTCCAGTGTTGGTTTCCTTTAATTCCTACAAGGCTGCACAGTTTTCTCTTTCAAAGGTAGAAGTGAAGGATCATTACTCACGGTTTTCCTTTAAACTGAGGAAGGAGCTCTTTTGAGACTGCTGACTCGCAAAGAGAAGGTGCTGAACCTGGTCTCCCCACACTGGAAAAAATACAGAAATTCAAACTTTTAGCAGATGTAAACATGTAGTTTGTGAGCATAATGTATTTCTATTTGTACTTCTTTCTTTTCGGTCTGTCTCTGCAGGTCAGTGGTACAGTTTTTATATCCAACTAAATCAGACTGTAACAGCATTCTGAGTCTGGATTGGACATTTTAGATTCATCTGCCTGAATCCAAAAGCACAAAGTAAAACAAAAAAACAAACAAACAAATGGTTTCTGTCTGATTTTTCCTGAAATGAAGCGGTATAATGAGATCTTGGAAGACCGCATTGATGCATATTCATAGTGTTCAGACCTGGAGGTCTTTTTTCTGGGAAAGAAAAGGGAAAAAACACAAGAAATGTAACTTAATAAAGTTAAGATAAAGATAAAGATAACTTTATTGATCCCACAGTGGGGAAAGTTCACCGTTACAACACCTCCAAAAACAGTGTACGGTCAGTGCAAGAACAATTGGGAACAGCCAGTGCAAATTGTAGGAAAGAAACAGAAACAGAAAACACACAGTGCAAATATTGCAAGAGAAAAAAAAACATTATATGCAGAAGATTTTATTTATTTTTTATTTTTTTAAAGACTATATACACAAACATGAGGTAGTAATGGTTATTGCACATAGTGGAATGTGTTTGTTGGTGGAAAAAAGAAAAAAGTGCAGCAGTAACAGAGGTCCCAGTGGAGTCTATAGTGCAGCGTTGTAAAGTCTGACTGTTGTTGGGATGAAGGAGCTGCGGAAACGTTCCTTCCTACACTTTGGGTGCAACACTCTGTTGCTGAATGCACTGCGTAAAGAGTTCACAGTCTGATGCAGAGGGTTTTGTTTCCTATGATGGCAGACAGTTTGGCCAGTGCCCTCCTCTCTCCCACCACTTCAATGGAGAGATGAAATGTATGTAGTGCATTATGAGTGGGTGTCTAAACTAATGTTGTTTTTCTCTGTTTCCTACCAGGCTGCACAGTTTTCTCTTTTAAAGGTAGAAGTCATGAATCATTTCTTACTGTTTTCCCTTAAATTGAGGAAGGAGCTCTTTTGAGACTGCTGTCTCGCAAACAGACTGTGCTGGACTTCGTCTCCCCAAACTGGAAAAAATACAGAAATTTAAATTCTTAACAGATGTAAACATGTAGTTTGTGAGCATATAAAATTATGAAAAATGATACTGTAAATAATGTAGCCCTATGTGTACTTTTTAGGCCTGTCTCTACAGGTCAGTGGAACAG